GGGAGAAGCAGGCTTCCCGCTGAGCAGGGAGCCCGACGCGGGGCTCGATCCCAGGACCCTGGGATCATGACCTGGGCCGAAGGCAGACGCTTAACAACTGAGCCAACAGACGCCCCTAGATACTACTTTTAAAAATAGAGCCATAATGCTCACAGCCGTGACTGTGGTAGCCAAAGTCCGAAGCACAGCTGAGGCTAAGTCTCAGGAGACTAATGTAGGCTGACCTGTGTGGAGAGTGGCAGCAGTGACCGCCTGTCACCACATCCTGTCTTTAGCCAATGTGTGCTGTGGTTCCCACTCCTATTTTGTATGATTATTCACACGCAGATACTTACCTAGCGTCCGTACGCACTAGAACAGATGCCTGGCCGACAGGATGGTAAAGTAGAGTGTGGTGACATCACGAAGGAGGTCGCGGTGCCTGGAGGTGGGCAGAATTCGGGAAGGCTGAGTGCTGACAGATGAGTAGGATTGTGAGAGGTAGTGGTGTTTGGGGGGCAGTCCAGTATGGGGGCTTAGCACAGATGCACAGGGACATGAGGGCGCATGGTCTGTCCAGGCTGTTGAAAACAGTTGCATGCCAACCCTTGTTCTGGTAAATAAACAGGGACTTATGTCTCCTTCAGCCAGCGATTTTGTAGTATCAGCCATACCAGAGTGAATGAGGTGTGAAGGGCTTCACGTCCTAGTGTTTCCATTCATCTGAATATTCCTTTTCTTGTGTTTCTTATATTTGTTTTAGGTTGTCCACGAGGAAATTGGAAATATTCTGGCTTTTCTTATTCCTTTTGTAGCCTGTATTTTCCAGGTGGGTGAAACATTAACATTTCGGTGAGTGGGTTGAACCCCATGGTCCTATTTTGTTCTTCTGTTGGAACCATCAGCAAGTTTCTTGATGTGATTTTGTTCCACCAAGGCATGCTATGGACAATACCAGGTCCTTCCTGGAAGGACCCTAGGCCCATCCTGTCCAGCTGTCTCATTTTACAGAGGAAGAACATTGGGCTCAGAAAGGGAAAGCCACTTGCCCTAGGCCACAGAGCCTTTGACAATGGCTGAACAGAAGCCAGGAATTTGGATTGGACTCCCAAGAAGGGAGGGATGAGATTGCTGTGGGGATTGGGTTGAGCCTGACTAATGTGAAGCAGCGTCTTACTTATTGTCAGGGCAGTCCAAGTATAGAAATGTCTTTCTGCAGAAGTAACAACTACTTATATGTGCTTTTTTTTTTTAAACCAGGACTAGGTTAAAAAATTTTTTTTAAGATTTTATTTATTTATTTATTTTTTTTAAGATTTTATTTATTTATTAGAGAGAGAATGAGAGACAGCACAAGAGGGAAGAGGGTCAGAGGGAGAAGCAGACCCCCCGCTGAGCAGGGAGCCCGATGCGGGACTCGATCCCGGGACTCCAGGATCATGACCTGAGCCAAAGGCAGTCGCTTAACCAACTGAGCCACCCAGGCGCCCCTAAAGACTTTATTTATTTATTTGAGAGAGGGAGAGAGAGAGATAACATGAGCAGGGGGGAGGGACAGAAGGAGAAGCAGACTCCCCGCTGAGCAGGGAGCCCCACACGGGGCTCGAGCCCAGGATCCTGAGATCATGACCTGAGCCGAAGGCAGACGCCCAACCAACTGAGCCACCCAGGCGCCCCCCCCAAAAATTGTTTTTAATAGTAATGCCATCTGACTCAAATCTGTCCTTGGGAGGTGAGATAAACATTACAACATTAATAGTGGGCTTTGATTGTTATTTAGTTATTTTCAAGCAAACTTCATACTTAAGGGGTGGAGTAAAATGGAGCTTTTGAATCTCCTATAGGCAGAGTTAATTCTAGTAGAAAAACCTGACTGTAATTTCCTTTCCTCATCCTCCACAAAGGCTAGGACTTTAGTACTTTCTCTACATTCTTAAGCTTTTTTATTTTTTTTTTCCCCTTTCAGTTAAAATTTCTGTTCTCAGGACACTTCCTCTCTCTTCCACATCTGTCCTAGAATGGTCTGTTTTTTAAGAATGACATAATTGTGTCAAAAGAAATTTTCAACCCAGGACTGAAAATGCACTCATTTTTGAGAAATCAAGTCTCCAGAACCTTGGGTGTTGCCATTTGAGGTGCCCAAAGCCTGCATTTCAGGGCTGTGGGGTCTTACCCCTCGGCCTTCATTCCCTCAACTGCATTCATGTACTTGGATAGCTCTTTCAGTGGGGACCTCTCTCCCACCCACTGGAGCTTGAGCCTTTGTTGAATTGCTCTGGGTTTTGAGAACGTGCTTCTTGTTTTTTTTCAACGTTGAACCAAAAAGCTGCTTTTTACCTTTTGCAGAACAAGAATGGTCTCTTTTCTGTGTGATAGCCCTATACAAAATACCGGTCGTGAGACTCTCCTGGCTGTGAGACTTTCCCTGTGTCAGAGATGTTTTTGGAGACATGATAAAGGGCGTGTCTGGGGAACATTGGTCCTTGATGTAGTTGTAACTCAGGAAAAACGAATGATAAAAGCATGGCTCTTTTCCCTGGCTTTCGTGCCTGTCATGACTCCCCTGAAGGAAGAATCCAGTTGGAGGTCAGTCAGCCTTGTTGGGGTGTCTTGGCCTGGCTCCCTTCCCTTTACCTGCATCTCTTCTTTCTCCACAGCCCCCAGCTAGGGCATTTCTGTCTGTATTTCTTAAACGTGTTAACGAGTGTCGTGTCCTCATTCCTCCTGTGACATCTATTTCACTTCTCTTCTCTCTTCTGAATCTCCACTTTCACCCAGTGATTACCAGCAGCTTACCCAGCACGTCCAGGCTGCACTGTAATGAATTCGGTTTAATCAGCTAATGTGAGTGCAGGTGCGAGACGGGAATCTTGCGTCCGACCCATGGCCATTTCCTCATCTCTGATTGGACTGCCTCTTACGGTGTCATTTCAGTGTTATTTGTACCTGTTCTACAGTCCAGCCAGGACTATGAAGGTGGTGTTCCTGCTGCTCTTTATCTGCCTGGGCAACATGTACCTGCACGGGCTGCGGAACGTCTGGCAAATCCTCTTCCACATAGCGGTGGCTTTTCTGTCTTCGTATCAGATACTGACCAGGCAGCTTCAGGAGAAGCAGTCTGACTGCGGAGTTTGAAGGCGACGCTGTATGACAAATGGATCCTTTGGCTTTCTCAGGAGGGTCGTCTCTGTTTCCCTTCTGGCTTCTCGACTTCACCTCAAGTTTCCACCCTTGAAGTTCCCTTCAACCAAACCAGGCCGAGCCCGAGAAACTGGGGGATTTTTAACAGGTGCAGTGGAAGGCAGGAGGTGGCTTGAGACCCAGGCCCGGTTTTGTGCTGAGCGTTATGGCCGAATCTCCAGGTCCGCACCTCTCCTTAGGTGAGAATCTGGGGGCTCACTCCCAAGGAGCATTATTGGAAGATCAGAACGGAATTGTTTTGGATGACGCAATAAAGCACGAGATTCAATAACACTAGTTTTAGTAGCTGGCGGTTGTCTCTGAGGAAACTTACTTTAAAACCCGTATCAGCTTTTCAGTCTAAATGTGACTTGGCTAGTTTTTTGTAGAGGGTCAGTACAGGGTGAATTAAAGATTTCAAAATATGGCTCAGAAATATAAGCTAGATAAATTTTGTTTACATTTTTTGATAACTTAGTCCGATATGATAGCTTTAGAATATTTAAATGTATTTTGGATATAAATTGTGAACTTATCTTCATTTAGGGAAAGGACAAACTTAAGCTGAGAAAATGGTTAAGAAAGCTGAATTTCTTTAATTTATATATAACTTTTTATGGTGGTGGGGCTGTGTGGGTACAGAAATGTTTTATATTTATCTGCAGGGTATATCTGAATATTTTAAAAATTGAGTGACCAGTGTTACTGGATCATAGCTTATGAGTATGAGCCTGAGCTTATAAGCCTGAGAATTTCAGGATTCTTTGCAGTGGGCCACAGACCGGAGTAGGTGAATCACATAGATTCACATAGTGGCACCTTACAGATGCAGGTGGTATTGAAAAAAACAAAAACAAAAACTATTGTCATCAGCCTTGTACATGGCAGCCGAGTGCCTGTCATTTTAATGATGATCAATGCCTGACCCTGTGTACCTGTTCCCAGAAGCCCTCCCAGATTATTTACTCCTCGACACCTTTCCCAGTCATCATAATTAGATCGAGGGCCTCATTCTTTATGAACAGGAGTTAAGTAGGTGTTAACTTTTTTAAAGCTTCATAAAGATATAACTAACCCTGTGCTCTGCAAAGTTACTTTTCTTGCCTCATTGTCAAAATAGTTGATTGATCACAGCTTTCCAAAATGGGGCTCTAAATAAGATCCCTTAGGTCTCCAGAAATTTCAGCCTGGGTTGTCCAGTACCATTCAGGAGGCCATTTTCCGAGCTTGCCCTTTGGATTCTTCTTGGTAGAAATCTGGAATCTGAATAGCTCAACTGCAATTGCATGGGATTTTGGGTTGAATTATGTGGTCTTGATAAATGAAAAAATCCCACTTTGATAGTATTTAAAAGTTGAAAACCATTGCAAGAGTTAGTAAGTACGTGGGGAAAGCAAGAATATTGTTTTAGGGAATTCAGTTGTACTTGGTTGTATGCTGTTAGTGCATTGCTATTGAGCTACTTGATGTCACTTTAAGAAAAACAAGTTCATGTGACTGGCAACTGTTGGGAAAATGTTGCTGCAGTCATTTTATTTTCTTATAATACAGTTTTCTATTTTTAATCAAACAGTATCTGGATGTGAAAGATATATTGGCACCATCCTCAGATGTCAAGTTCACAGTTGTCTCTCCTTCGATTCTGTATCTGCATAATCTTCTGCATACCCAGCAGGTGAATCTAAAGGCTTTCTGGGACATAATTTTGAAGAGATGGTAAAATAGAATGGGAAGCCAAGGAAGGGAGACAAATCCTTGTTAACATTAGAAGCACCAAAAAAAAAAAAAAAAGGCTTTAAAAGTTGGTAAGAACAGCTTACAAGTGAATTGTGGGTTTTGTTTTTTTTTTTTTTTCCTTTTTTCAAGCCCTTGTGTTATTGGTGTTGCCGTGTAGCCCTGTACCCCAGATGTGATTGCTCTTGGGGTTGAGCCTGTGATCCACATCCAGCAGACCCTGAAGAGGAGTCCCTCCTGGTGAATGCTTCCTACACCAGCAGGGAGGTTATCTACACTTGGTTGAATGTGGTTATCATCAATTAGCATCTACATGGGGTTTGAGATTGATTTTTGCAAACAAAAAGGAAAAGATGCACAAACAGTACAAAACAATGACCACATAAACATTGTTTAACTAGAATCCAGCTGAAAGAAGCCTCAGCTCACTGGAGGAAGAGACAAGTGATAGGAAAGAAGTTCTGGGAATATTGTCCAAGGGAAATCCCAGGCTGGTTCAGGCCTGGAATTTTGTGCCCCCCCCCCCCACCCGTGTCATCCTTGATGCCAGAAAGCTGGCCCCCCATCACAGGAGTTATCCTCACTACCCCACAGACTCATTGCTGTTCTAGCACTTTGTTTTCCCAGGGGTTCGATGCTACCTGCCCAACCGACCTCGCAGGGGTAGATCTGGGAATAGATGAAATCATGTTGGAAACAAACCTTCAAAGTGCCTTCTGGGATCAGATGCTGCAAGATCTTAATATCAGAGTATGTTATTCCCATCTACTGTATCGGGCTGGGAATGTGGCTCAGGGCTCTTGACCAGGGTTTCCCAACCAAGGGCCCAAGGCCCAAAGGGTTTTCCCTTCCCCAAGTATGCTGGTCAAAGAAACACGCAGACTCTGGTTTTCATTTCCCTAGGCTAGCCTTACTGCGATGAGGATCGTTCCTGAGTTTCTTTTTCCTGGGTGGAGACAACCGGGGGCATATCTGGGGTGGCACTTCCTCTCAGTACGGGAGGCCCCACTGCCAGCAGCAGAAGGAATGTGACCGGAGGCTTCTGGTTTTGCTTCCCAGGCTTGCACTCTTACTACCTGTGAACTCTGTTGCAGGCATCGTGAGGCAAGGCCCACCACTTTAAAGCTCCTTAAGGGGTCGGCCAAAGGGTGTCAAGAAGAGTGCTGAAATTCAAACATTCAGCCTCATTTCCATCACCTCACCTGGAGCTCCCTGTTCCTTTCCTAGGTGCCCCCATTCTCCAAGACTCCTCTGCCTCTTTCATGTCTGTCCCACACATTCCAGCCCTGGACACACAGGCTGAACCTGGAATCTCTGGAGGGATGAGAAAGCCATCTTTGAGTGTAGTTGCTGGGGTGGGTACAGGAGCTTCAGAGTGGGGGCAGACTGCACTGAGGCCCGGCTCTCTTCCTCTTTGCCCCTGGGAGCTTTAGCACACACTTAGGAGTCCACGCTCAGAGGGGAGTAGCACTTTGGTGCTCAGAGTCAAAGATGACACCCAGCAGGGCCAGCTGTTGGGCCAGCGTGGAAAGCAGGAGACAGATGGGAAGCAGAGCCGGGGACATGTTGGGGCCGCATGCGGCACCATCCAGGGCTGCTATTTGCTGTTCCTTGAAGGAGTCAGCCACTCATTGTAACATGCAGGACGGGTGGCCCTTAGGAGCCTGCTGCCATGCATGCCCAGAGCAGCACAGGTGAGGACCAGTAGGCGTGGGAGTGTTTGCGGGGACAGATGTGCGCCCCTGTTCTGGTGTGGCTTGCATTCCAGATGTTCCTGCACAGAATCCTGCCCAGGGACGGGGAAGCTCCACTGTGCGCTGTGTTAATAATGGTGGAGGAAGAGAGAGGAGATGTGCCCGTGAGAGATCGGGGAGGCCTGGGGATCAGCTTGACTCTTCCACTCAGCCCTGCAAGTCATGCCCACGGGCCTCAGTGTCCTCAGCTGGGCAGTTCCCCCGGCATGCTCTCATGAGGCTAAAAGCCTAGTGGAGGAGAGTACTGGGTGAATCCCTTGGTCGCGGGCAGGAGGAGAAAGACTTTCCACCCGATACAAGGAGGTCCATACTTCAGGCAGCACGGTGTGGCCGTGTCTCCCAGGTGTTACAAAAATGGGCATTTTATCAAGACTGCAATGTAAATGGACTCATTCTTTCACTCTAGAAAGGAAGTGGCCTCTCTTTCTCCTCCTTGAACCTGCCTCCTGCCCTCCAGTCCCAGAGCTCTTGGTACCATTGGCGTTGGGCCCTCCAGGGTCCAGGGAGGCCGGTTCTGCGGGTTGGAGCAAACCTCAGGGTCCGTTCCCGACCCAAATGAGGAGAGTTCTGATTCTCCCATCTGGGAGCAGTGACATCAGACTTCTGTTTCTGGGGAAACGTCTTGGCAGGGAACCTGTGGAAAAGGGCTCGTCGGTGAGGTCTGGGAATGGCCGGATATGGAAACATCTGCCCATGTGTACTGATGGCAGAGCTGCTGCCCACAAGCGCCTTTTATTTAGGGTAAAATGGTCAAATCCATTGTTCTAACCTGTGCTTGGTACATATGACCTTCTTTAACCCTCGGGTGATCCCAGGGTTAGTTACTTCAGAAGTATTATTTCATGAATTACTCATATGACTTGACCCCCCAGAATTCTGTTTTATTTAATAGACTTTTCTACTAAGAGCATAAAAGGTTGCGGCTGATTTAGCCAGGGCAAAACCATTGACTTCACATATTTGTTTTGAACGCTTGCTGTCCATGTTGTACAAGCTTCTTACTGTTTTCATGTAATAACAAAGATCTATTTTGGATAAATGATGAGTATGTTTTAACAGACTCTCACACAGTAGTAAAGCCTAAACTCGTGTTCACGTATGTAAAGAATATTGTATAGCCATTTATATACCATGTATATATAAATCAAATAAGGTGGCTTCAGAAGTGAGAGGAGAATAAATCTAAGGTGCTTATTAACTTGCGTGTATTCGTGTAAAAAGTTCTGAGCGACAGGTCTGTTTTCCCAGAGGGTGTGATGTGGGCCTGGCATAATGGAGGGGGGATGCTGAGAGAGGTGGACTTCAGGTCCTCTGTCCAGTGTCTGGACAGCTGCACGGCCTCAGTCCTTAGCACTAATGCCTAGACTCTGGAATGCAATCATGGGTCCAGGAGAGACCTTGGCAAAGCCAACATAGCAGCCCTCGGGGTGGGGGGGTGGGTAGGGAGGCCTGCCTTCTCTGCAGGCTCTGCTCCTGCTTCTCTGTGCCTGTGAGCCGGCCCTTACCCTGCGCTAGATTTCTGAGCACCGGCTTAGTTTTCCTCTCCCAGGACAGCCCCGCCACCAAGAGGCCAGCAGGAGGCGCAGCGGCCTGCCGGTTGTCAGGCTCCGGGCCCAGGGGACTGCCCCCTTCTGCAGAGGTCCTTCCTGCGGCGGCCGACAGAATTCCCAGAAAGTAAGCAAGTGCACCAGCCTCTCCTGCCCATATCCCAAACACACTGGGGGAATGCGTGCTCCCAGCTTCTCTCCACCATCTGTCCTGAGTGAAAAACTCTGGGGGTGGGGGGTGGGGTGGGGAGGGCAGAAGCTTCCAAAATAAACACTAAGTTACTGGGTTCTGGGATTTGTGAGTTGGCAGAGCCTTGGGACACCACCCGGTTCAACCCCCTTGTTGCTCAGGTGGGGAAGTTGAGGCCTGTCCGAGGGGGCCAGTGACAGTGCAGCCGAGAGCTGCGTCCCCTGGGCTGGGAATAAGGTGCTCTACATACCGCAGCACCGCAGAGAGGAAAAGGGGATGTTGGCCCATGAAAGATGCCCTTGCTGCGCCAGGAGGGCCGCGTGCCAGTGCAGGCTGATGAATTGCCTTCCTTTTTCTTGAGCTCCACCCGCTAATGGGGCCCGGGAGCAGAAGCGCCGCGTGACAACTGCCAAACGGCCTCGAGCAGTGCCAGTGAGGAGTGAGGCTCAGAGAGGAAGGGGTCCCCCTGGGTGCCCCTGGCGGGGAGGCGCTGCCTGGTTCTGCAGTCTGCTCTCCGATGTTGCTGGGTCGGATGTGCAAGGCAAACACTAGGAAGTTCACGGAAGAACAGGAAGGAAAGTACCTTTGTGACCTAGGATGGAAAAGTGCACTTAAAGAAAAATGCTACAGGTACAACCCTTGAGGCAAAATGATTAATCTCATTGCATGCAAATAAGGATGTCACGGGCAAAGTTAAACGAATGGGAGGAGATCTTTAGAATGTCTGAAACCAATAGGGATCACTATACAGCTTCTTACTGTTTTCATGTAATAAAAAGATCTTTTTTGAATAAATGATGAGTATGTTTTAACAGACTCTCACACAGTAGTAAAGCCTAAACTCGTGTTAACGTATGTAAAGAATATTGTATAGCCGTAGGTCAGCAAGAAAGACAGCAAGCTCAGTAGAAAAATGAACAATTTACAGAAGAGAAAAACCCAAAAAGCTAAGAAGCATAGGAAGATGTTTAAAATCATTAGAATTACAGAGAATCACATATTTAAACAACAGTAAAGTATCACCTCATGCCTATTAGTTTGGCAAAACTTAGAAAGCTGGATGGCATCAAGTGTTGGAGGGTGTGGGGGGATATAGGACTTCGTGCACAGGCCATCTGAAGGGCAATGCCACTGTCGTGGGCTGAACTGTGCTCTCCCCGCATGCATATGTTGAAGTCCTGACCCCCAGAACGTCTGTATTTGGAGGTAGGGAGAAGGCAGCCATCTGCAAGCCAAGGAAAGAAGCATCAGAAGAAACCAATCCCGTCGATACCTTGATCTCAGACTTCCAGCCTCCAAACCATGAGAAAATAAATGTCTGTTGTTTAGGGGCGCCTGGGTGGTGCCGTCGGGTAAGCATCAGACTCTTGGTTTTGACTCAGGTCATGATCTCAGGGTCGTGAGATTGAACCCCGGGTGGGACTGCACGCTCAGCATGGAGTCTGCTTGAGATTTTCTTTCTCCCTCTGCCCCTCCTGCTTGTGCTCTCTCTCTCTCAAAATAAATAAATCTTTTAAAAAAATTTCTGTTGTTAAACCACCCAGTTTGTGGTACTTGGTTATGGAGGCTCTAGCAAATGAATCTGGCTACCTACCCGAATTTCATGTGCACACTGGATCCTTCACTCCTGGTTCTATGTCCCTGGGAAATGCTTTGACAGATCCTTGAGGGGATAGGTATGAAGTTAAATTTTACGGAAGAATTACTTGTGTTGGGAGAAAGCAGTCTGTGTCTCCCATGGACAGATCAAGTGTGCAGGCTCACCATAGAGCACCACACTGCAGGAAGAAGTACCAGATTTAGATGTAATGCAGCAGCATGGATGGATCTCTAAAATGTAGAACCGAGTAGAAAAATAAGTGTATATGATTAGAAATATATGCACACGAAATGATAAAATACTTTGTAAGAACATATTTTAAAAAAAGATATGTGTTAAATACATTTGAGTGGTTGCCTACAAGGGGCCAGGAGCATGTGAGTTAGGGATAATAAGGAATTTAAAGAAAAGAGAGAAAGCTTGCTAGAGTCAGGGGTCAGGTCTGAGAGCCCTGGGTGAACTCTGGGGGCCTGCATTGCCCCTGGCGATCTTGCCCTGGGTGCGCCCAGCACTCACTGGACTGAGGCCCAGAAGGCCCACCTCTGCGGGGGCTCTAGCCCCAAATGCTGCCAGAGTGTTTGAGCCTCCAGGCTTTTCCAGTGGGCGAGGTGGGGGAACTGAAGCCGAGGCCAGGGGCTATAATGGTCAGGGAGGGCTTCTGGAACCGTGGGGGAGGGGAAGGGCAGAAAGCAGAGAGGAGGGGACTCAAGAGGGGAAAGTAGATGGGTGAGCCAGCTCTGGCCACAGGGGACTCCCTCCTTCCCAGATTCTTGCTGTCTGACCAGTAGTTTCCTGGCGGAGACTCTTTCCCACATGAGGCACTCAGCTGAAGGACTCTCTCACAGGGGATTCTCAGGGAAAAAGGAACACAGCTGCAGGAGGGACGGAGGTGCCCCCAAGGCAAGGCCTTCCTCCCACCCCAGAAACAAGTCTGTTCCCTGGCATGAGCCTGGGGAAGTGAAGCCGGAGGGGACTGAGTCTGGGCGGGTGAAGCTAACCAGGACCACCACTGCCCTGAGGGATTATTCTAGGCACATTTTCTGAGGCCCCAGGGGTAAGAGCAGGGGCCAGAAGCAAGGAACACAGGGCTAGCCGTAGGATGAACTTTCTCACAGGGCTGGTGAGCAGGGCTCAGGGAGATAGTGAGCACTCCACTGTGAAGGTGTGCAAACCGAGATGCGATGAGTCGGCCGGGACCTTGGAACACGCTGTCCCCATCTCGGAGACCTTGTCTCGTCCTGGGTGCTGGTGTCCGCAGGGACATCCGCCTGTCTCCCGTCGTGCCTCCTGTTGCGTCCATCCCATGAGGCGAGCCAGACGCCGGTCGCAGGAAACGGCCTGTGCCATCTTCCGTTTGAAAGAGTAAATATTAGTCTTTTCAAGAGCTACCTGTTCTGTGTCACTGGGCACCACTGGGGACACTGAACTGGGATTTGCAAGGGTGGGAGGTGCGTGCTCTTGGTCCCCACGCCCAGACAGAGTCTGTGGGCCTAACTGGTCACTGTTGCAATGGAGGGCAACAAGAAACAAGCCTCCCCGTGTCCAGGCGGGCATCCCCTCCTGGTCACTCAGGAAGCAGTGAGCCCCCGAGCCCCCAAGATGCACTCTCCTCACATACCGCTCAGGCTGCTGCTGCAGAGGCAGGGGGCTGCATGTTTTGACCTGGATCTTAAGGCCTTGGGCCCTGGCTCTGGTGTATATGGTTTAAAATCCTCTGATTTTGCAGCATTATCGGAAAGGGGAAATGACTTGCTTCTACTTCACTGTCACCCCCGGGGAGACCTCCTCTGACCATCCCAACTAACAGAGCACCCCCTCACTCTAGCCCCTCATCTTGCCTTCTTCCTTCTGTAATTTTCCTCATTTATTTTTTGTGAGCATCAGTGGTTTATGTTTTATTTTTTGATTATTGGAGTATCATTGACCTACCATGTTAGTTGCAGGTGTACAACAATTCTGTACATTACTCGGTGCTCACCGCACTAAGTGTCACCATCTGTCACCGTATGTTATTACGATACTATTGTCCACATTCCCTGTGCTGTACTGTTCATCCTCGAGTAATTTCCTCATTTATGATCTGACTCCTCCGTTAGGGGGGTCAGCGCTGTGAGGGCAGGGCCTTGGTCACGCTGTGCACACCGTCAGCGCTCGGTAGCTATTTGCTGAATGAATATTATGGCATCCATACCTTGAAGATATTAAACCGATATAATTCTCATCTCCTCACCGTCTGGAGCCACGCCATCATTATGACCCAGGGGACAGGCAGGGGTGGGGGATGAATGCCATCTCAGGGAGCAGGAAGGGAGGATGGGGGTGGGGGAGGAAGGAAAACCCACCTTCAGCTGGTGAGGAAGGAAACTCTCAGACATGTCCTGTTCTCATCCTCTGGGATGAAATCTTGAGGTGGGGGGGGGAACCCTACACTATGAAAGTGGAGGGGGTGTGTGTCCCACTCTGCACTTGGAATCAGCCTCCCACGCAGCCTGGTGCCCCTCAGGTGGCCCTACTGGGTAAAAACAGTAGAGCTGTGGATTTGATCGCAAGAAAGTCGGAGTGAGCACCACCCAGCCTCCCTCAGCTCCCAGAGGCCTGGAAGGGATCCAGAAGCTCCTGCGTGCTCCCTGGGGCATGAGGAAGATGGCTGAGTTAGAGCCGGTGAGCCTGGCATGATGGCGCCGCCACGGCCAGTGGGGAGGTGAGGGGGGCTCGCACCCCGGGCTGGATAGCGGCTTGGCTGAGGGGCCACAGTGAGCCCAGGTGGGGCTGGATCTGCCAGGGCAGGCCCCGGGGCCCCAGCCAAGAGAGCAGGCTGTGGGCAGCTCGGCCACGGTGAGGATCCTAGTACACAGGGTAGC